TAGTGACGGACACATTACTGTACCGCCCTCAGAACATCTGTTAGTGATGGACACATTACTGTACCGCCCTCAGAACATCTGTTAGTGATGGACATATTACTGTATCGCCCTCAGAAATACCACCTCATATTGTGTCATTCACGTTTATACAGAGACATCTCTAAAAGAACAGGTATCATCAGAAATGGCATCCGATAAGCTGATTGACTTCATTCATTTGTCTCCCGGCAGAAAGCAAAGAGTAATAAAAGGCAGTGGACTAAGTGGGCAAGGTTTCTGTGCATAACGATTTTTAGCGGATGACACATACGAACACTAAGGCCTTAAGACTCTAATCTGGCCAGTAGCTGTTGAGTGGTTGGATGGATTGATGGACAGACATACAGTGTGCATTGGCACCACTCTGTTAGCAAAGCAAACACAAATGATGATGAGAAATACAAAAAGAAACACGCAATGTATTCTTTCGAGCAAAGTTTTGTCGGTGTGGGTAGAAGCGTTCAGACCAGCTCACCTTCACAGTGAACAGCCACTGATGGTAGGTCTTGTCACTGCCTGTGTTGGGATCACAACAATAAAAAGGTCAACAACAAGTAGTAGGCATGCTGGGTAATTGCAAAGAAGGTCTTGGAAATCTACACTTCCAAAAAACAAGGCTCAAATAGTGAGATTTAGTTGTACTTTAGTTTACTTTTGATAAATTATTATAGTTCTTATCTTAGCTCTCTCTTGGTTATATTGATTTGATTTTAGCAACACCCACCGGCCCTTTCTTTAACTTTTGTAGTTTGCCTTTGAGTTTTGTTACAAAATAAGTTCCTTTTTTAATAAAATAACGTTATTTTAGAAAAAGTGGATTTCCTTTTCATGGTCTGTTTTTCCTCATGTCTCCTCACTGACAGGTGCGCTCTGCTCCCATGTCAATAGACCTGGTTGAAAAGTGACACACAAACACATCCCGTCTGATTCACCTGCATATTCGCCCATGTTGATCTCCTCCTCAAAAATGTCACTGAAACCCTCTCCTGAGTTCAACAAGTCCAATCTGCCGTCAATGAACTGCAAGTAGAACCCCAACATGTATTAAGAGTGTAAGATGAGGGGGGTGAATTAGAGAGGTGTGTGTGTATGCGTACCTGTTTGAAGAGCTGCAGCTGGATGGCGTTCTGGAGGAACTGCCTCATGGCACTGGAACGATGAGTCACGAAGGTTTCCTCATTAAATGTTATTGGCTCTCCCTAAAAAGGCAGAGGAACAGGCCAGCTGTCACAGTACCATACAACTGTATCACAATCAACATTTTATGTTCCGTGTCCAGTAGCCCAGAAGGGAGTGGTATAAAGCAAGTTGGACAAAGACAAGCTTTCTTAGCGTTAGCCCCGGTGAGAGATATCGGGTACCACAACCGTGATTATCAACTGTCTTTGTTAACACATTCGACTCTTCTAATTCAGTAAATAGTTAGACCGCCTGCCGCCTCCTTCAGTCAAGAGGAACAAACATAGACTGGATATAAGGAGTGGACGTAGTCATCGTGACGTCACCCATTGGTTTCTGGACTGCCGTTATGAAGCTTCGCGTTCAGTGATTTGGCCGTCGCCATCTTAGGTTTTAGCAACCGGTGAACGGAATTTACCATATTTGGAATGCAGAGTAGTGATGTAGAGACACCTTATATGGCTCTGGTAGCGTCAGCGACCTGTCAATCACAAGGTAGCCCCACCCTAAAGCATACCCTGCTTTATGGTCTGTTTGACTCTAAATGGACCATAATTTAGTAAATGAACATCATGCTGTATTGAAGAAGACTTGAAACTAGAGATTGAGACCATAAACTCATGTTTATAATGTTTACTGAGGTAATAAATCAAGAGAGAAGTAGAGTCATTTTCTCATAGACTTCTATACAACCAGACTTATTTTTGCTTCTGGAGAAGTCGCCCCCTGCTGGTCAGTAGAGAATGCAGGTTTAAGACACTTCCGCATTGGCTTCACTCGGCAGAACAGGAGGTTGCCGCCTGGGAACAAGTCGTTATATTACTAGAATAATGTATAACAAATTATTTCAGGAAAAATTAACACTGTTGCTGTGAACAAAGCAAGAAGGAGGAATGCTGGCAGGAACGGCTCATGGTGTAAATTTCCAAGTGAATATATTTATTTTACCACTCAAAGCCAACCGCTAATTTCTAGCGTGACAGTGTCGCCACGTTAGAAATAAACGGTTACTATCGTCTGCCAATTACTTTTTATTGGTTCAAAATGAGCTCGTTAACTGGCAGCTTGTGAAACAATCCGGTCTCTCATCTCAAGTTACTAATCAGACTGTAAACAATGAGAAGAGCATTACGTCCACTTCTTATATACAGTCGATGGTTGGCTACACCGGAACCCCAGAAACATAGCCCCTTATCTGAAGTCAGGGTTTCAACATTGCATACATACAGGCTGCTGTAACGCGTCCGGGGAGTAACTTGGGGTTCAGTGTCTCGCTAAAAGACACTTTAACAGGCGGCCGTCGACCGCGGTTCTGTCACCGAGGTCAACAGGTTTTAGAAAGAATAGCGATGCCATTTCCAAAAGACTTGATTGGTGAAAAACATTTTTTTGCCAATTTCAAATCGGAAGCTCAGCATAAGTTACCATGGCGATCTAGCCAGGGTATCATCAGTGACATCGAAACTCTGACTTCAGCCTACACATACTCTGACTTCAGGCTACACATACTTTGCTGACCCACCAATGTCACTTCGTAGCACACCCCTCTAGTTTGAGAGAATGTTGTTGTCATCAACACGGGCATACCCATGTGATCAACTTCCCCGCTCATCCCTCATGTCTGTGGTCTGCCGTATGCACTCACCGACTCAATCTGCAGAGCGTTTCTGTAGCTGCCGAACAGAGCCGCCTGACTCCTGAGGAAGGCTCGGGCCACACCGTCCCCGGTCGTTGTTGAAACCTTCCTCAAACGACTCTTTAGAGATGAGACCTGCGGGACGTGAAGCCACGGTCATTACAACACAATTTTAACCGTAAACACTGACATCCACATTTAAAGATGCACGGTGTCGTGTGCAGTAGCTCCTCACCACATCGTTGGGCAGGCTTTGGAGGTCATCGAAGGGTGTTTCCAGGGTGTTCGTGTCCACGTTCAGGACCACCACATCATCCAGAGCCATCCCTCGAACTTTCTACAAGCAACAGAAACAAGAGTCAACTGAAAGCACAAAGGCTGGTCAGACAGGTGGATACGCTACAATTTAAAGTTATAAAGTTATAAACACGTACCTCCATCAGACTGGAATGCACTCCGATGAGGTACGGCATTGGGGCACTGAAAAAATTAGCCAGTTTTATTCAACATTGTCTGAGATAATAACTGGGTTATGGAACTAGCAATACTAGTTTACATGTTGGTGACAACCTCATGCTAACAAACTCAGCTGCCCGGACGCTCACACACTGTCTGGATTATGAGTTTTATCTACTTTATAATAATGTCATTATCTAAAGATCCATGAACCGAGCTTTGATTGGTCAGTAAGTGCTCTAGAGCAGGTTATGTAACCATGGTGATTTAACCCGGTAAGAAGTGAAATTCTGTCGTAGGACTGAAAACCCTGAAGTTACCGCGCTAACCCCAAATCCTGCTTCGTAGCACAGGTAAGCACGGAGGATGTGTTGAGTTTGCATTAAATTACTGAAATATGATGAAGTCAACTTACAACACACAGAAAAATAGAAATAAAGTCTGGCTTCTCTCTGCAGTGGAGGTAAATAAAGGGCATCTTTTGAGAGTTACTGTTGTTGTTTATGTTTTCCTCCAGCACTTGAATATAAAGCCACCATCATCATACCATGCAGACAGAACATGGACTGAAAGGGTTTGCAGTGTGACTGACGGCCTGCAGACTCACCAGCAGTATTCCAGTAGATGTTGAGGCAGGACAGGAATGTAAACGTGTTGCCAGTGCATTGGATACAACATGGCCGTAGACCCATGGACACAAGCTGTTAACTGGGGACAAAGACAAATGTCAAACACATGATACTATACATCACATCACTGCTCTCTATGTGCAGGTATTTAAAGATTCAAATGCAATGCAGGACTAAAACAAAACCTATGAAATGTGCTCATAAATACACAAGGTTGTAAGTTATTGGTTATAGGATATAGAATTCATTCCAGTGATATCAAACATAATGATGGCAAACTATGGAGCCCAGCATGTGTCGTGGAGATTTTTCTTAGTTAGTGCTCAATTAGCAAAACACAACATAAAACTATTTTAAAGAACACTTCACCCCAATAATGATCATTTGTATATCAATTACTAGTCTAGTGTTACCTTGTATTCTTAAAGAAAACAATATCAAAACATCCATTTACTAAACAGATGTTTTGATATAGCTTTGCTGTTAAACACGGGCTCCATTTACTTTAATTCATGAAAAATGAACTTTTCTCCATTTTTGGATTCTTCGTTCACCGTGGAGGCACGAGAGAAAAACTAAGTTCTGTGAAGGATCTGGGAAGTGAGGACCCAGAGTACTTCCTTGTGTGCGCTTGTCTACACACTGGACCATGCAAAAACTAAAAGATAGGGCTGCCCCATGACCACTGTGTAGGGTTTCTCTAAAAAAAATCTGCTTTAAAGGGGAAACACTTAAATAAAAAATTCCAATTTAGGAACGTTTGATCTACTCTCTCTCAAAGCCAGAAACCAGAGAAGTAAGTCTAAAGCGTGTGATATCAAGTAATATCAAATAAATGAGACTGATTTAGTTTTCTTTGTTTTCTACCCAGAATGAGCTTTATTCTATTGTAGTGCGTCAGTTGTGAAACAGCTGGTGCTTTCAATGTCATTTAACATCTTCCAAATCCAATTCATTGTCTATGGAGCAGATGATACTTCACGTCACTTTTTTGGATTTGGGAGAGAGTTGTTTGTGTTTACCAATTTTTTCAGACTGTCTTAGACTATGGGAATAACTAGAGCGAAGTTCCCCTTTAAAGCAGAGATTTGTGGATGTACTTTGGATCACGCTGTGTTATCAAATTGCACATTCTAATATGAGAGCATGAAAAACATAATTTGTGTGAATGCGTTAATATTTCCTGTTTACAAGTTATTTTCTCTCTCTCTCCATGACAGTTTGCCATCACAGTAAACAACAGAGATGATTGTCATGAACTAATATGCAGGAGGAGACCTAATTGTTTTTGACTATGACCAGGTGGACAACATAAAGTAACACAACAACTATTTTCACATTTCTAATGAAAACCTCATTTTCTTTGGATATTTTGGCCCGAATATCAATAGATGTACCGTCTGGTATTAAAACCCACAATCATTAATTTGTTTTGCATGAATGTAATTTCCAATTGAGTGTTTCACTTGCAGTGATTCATATTGTACATTCAATGTGACAACAATAAACAGCTCACACACTGCGAAACCTCCAATAGCAACCATTCATTTTAATGTGTCAAAATGACATTATAGAGAAGAGATGTTCTAGAACAGATGTGCTGATGTGAGCGATTTAACAGAGAGCACAAAGGGCAGAGCTGTGGAAGAGAGAAGGAACAGAGAGTGGACTCTACTTACAGTGCTTAGCTTGCTACAGCAGATGAGGACTCGGCGTTCATAAAGCATACTAGCGTACAGGTGAAGCATGTTATTGACATCTACTGCTACAAAGTACTCTGTTAAGTTTCTCTGCAAGGGTCAAACACAACAAGAGAAAAAAAACAAATGGAAAGAGTTAGTTGTGAGGGTAAAGACCAGTGGTGTTATCAACTATGGTTCACGTCATTAAACTTTAGCATCCAGGAGCTATTTCAACTGACAACCTAAACAGCAATACATGAAATCTGGGCGAGTACAGGCTGTAAGTTAGAAGAAGAATAAAATGACAGTTCTCATCCCTCATAGCTACATTAAATTTCTTGATCAAACACATGACTTATTTTTACAAACATTGTTGTCTATCTATTCTAATTCTGTTTGTATTAATTTTCTGTATTTGCAGGCTGCACTACGCAAGGCGACCCACACCCACCATATCACCTGGCCTTAGCCTCTGCATCCCTGGTCTGATAACACAGGGTAAGGAGGATGTTAGCTAACAGCTAGGCAGTCGCTCAGCGCTGAACCTTAACGTTAGAAAGTATTGAGGCTTCAATCAGCAGCTGTGGGCTAACGTTAGCGTAACACCAACTACGTGTTGTCTTCGCCACCACAGACGCCCCTTTTAAAAAGAGAGCACTTGTTTATTCAAAGTTTATCAATATTGATGTCACGAGTCCATATTGCACAAACTTCGATTCTGGGTATTATATTGGCAACAGAAGCAAGTATGATATGTTTGCAGTTTCAGCAAAATGAACCAGACAAACGATATATGCCAGATGTGTTTGGCTGCACTGCACTCGAAATAATGTGTCACGGCAGTATTGATCTCAGAGCCATTTCATTTAACAGCCATGAACACACAGTAATTATAAACGGTCTGACTATTAAACAAGTGTTTCACAGATAATTGAGCTGAGCTAACCGGGACGTGCAACTGCTCACAGATACAAATCAATAGCATTAACAGTGAGTTTCTAATTGGCCAAATGTAACAGACGGTTTGACTGGGATGGGGGAAATGACAGCACTCACATTCTCAGGTATGCTGGGGAGTTCCCTTGTGTCAGGCACAGTGAAGAAGGAATGCTGGAGAAAACAGAAGACATGAGTCAGTGCTAGTTTGAATCCATCAGTGTGGAAATGAAAACAATGCACAAGACTGAGAAAAAGAAAACGCAGTCAACTCATTCTTTCCCCCGTCTTCCTATGAAATAGTCATGTATGGTGATCCATGCATTTAGCGTTGTAATTCTGTATGGTAGTTGACACTGACGTTTCATATGTCAACAGAGTGATTCAACCATCAGTGAGATTATTGTTCTTTGGGAGGAACACAGATAGAAGTGAGCTCGGTGGGGTGTGATGTGGTGAAGTGGGACTCACCACACCGAGATGAACGGGGACCCCGGGCTCAGGGATGGGGAGCGTGTGTAGAGACACCAGGAACTCTTGCCATTGGCTTTCCTGAAACATTCAGAAGATTCTAAATCCGCACAAAGGCCATTGAGGAAACACATGATCTCATGCAAGCAACACATACACAGCGCCTAAGTCAAAGGAGTTAGTGGGGAGGCAAACTGACACAGGATAATCACTGCAGTCATGTGAGGAATCTGGATTTGTTTGGGGTGTCACGATATACCACTGTTGGCGATACCCATGCCATTTAAAAATAAAATATTGATATCATAGTAATAATAATAATAATAATAATAATAATACACATATTTTGAAAATAACCCAGCGGCTCTTAAATCATCTTATAAAACAGGTAGCTCAAATCAAGCAATCTGATTGGTTCCTAGCCGTGATATATTACCCATATCCCACTGCTATGAACTCTTTCAGTGTCACTCTATAAATGAAAAAATACAAATAATATAAATAAATAGCCAAATAATATTATCAATGTAACGTTATCGTGCAATGGGTAAGGCCCAGGAGGGCCTACTTTATTGTGAACATTGTTATTAATGTCAATAAAAAACTTTTTGACTTGGAATGTGTCTAGAACTTTCACGTTGCCATACTTGGTGACCGTTTTACAAAAGCGACAGCTCACTTCAGACTGTGGTATGTAGTCATTATATCACAGCTCAGAGGGTAGACGTGCCTCCAGTTTGCGTTGGGCCGAACAACGCCCCTTAGCTGTGATATGATGACAACATACCATGGCCTGTCGTGAGCTATTGTTTAATTATACATACAGTTATGGTTACAGAATCTCTCTCTTCATCCTTACCTTACACTTGTATTTTGACTTTACTTCATTTTAAACGCACACTAAATGGAGTTAAAGATGAATACCGCCTGATAGTCTTCTTTTTAATGTTTTTCTATACATATCGAAGTGTATATTTCAGTTGACATTTTTCCAGGTGAAAACTGGAGCTAAAAAGACAGACTTTTTTTTAATAAATGCACTCAAAAGCTAAATACTGATGAAAGCTGACACTTTTAATGCAGGAAGTCCAGAAGATATAACACAATGTCTCCATAACAAGATGAGTCGACCGTCATGACTCACCTGGCCTTTGATGGTGTAATCAGCAAGGATATTAAGCAGCTTGTAGAAGACTTCGAACCAGGGCAGGTAGCTGAGAGGATGAGAACAGGGTCAGTCTCACCGTTTGAGTGAAGGAATGATGGTGCAGTAAATCCTTTTTAGAATTCAATCAACATCCTGCTTTTTAAATGATTGTTTTAATTAATTTGTAACCGTTTCAAATAATTAAAATAGATACCAATACATTTACAAAGGTGATGGCCAGATTAAAACAAAAGACACACACACACCCACACACACACACCTGAGAATGCAGTAGCAGGTGTGGGCACCTGAGGAGAGGCGACAGAAGCCGAATCTCTGTTTGCTCTCGATGTCGGTCAACACAAATGTGAAGTTCTGGCCGACTTGGTTGACTGTCAGACTGCAGGGCGAGAGAGGTTCGGACGGCAGACAGAGAGCGAGACAGAGAATTACAATTCAAGGAAATATGTTACTAAACAAAAGAACACAGAGTACATCTGTTAAATCAATCCTTACCTATAGATTAAAAGTCAAATCAAATACACTAGCATTACTGCCTCAACCAGCCAGTCATGTAGCAGTTTACATCCATGTCTGTCCAATATTTCGTCACCTCGTCACTTTATCCTATCAGACATTTGTGTGACATTGTTTAACAGCAGTTTTAACTGTATATAAGAAGTGCACGTAGCCATTTTGACGTTTTGAAGCCTCAAGTTCAGCAATTTGGCCGTCGCCATATTGGCTTTCTGCTAAATTGGACAATCATTTACTAAATGAACATCATGCTGTATTGAGGAAGACTTGAAACTATAGATTGAGACCATAAACTCATGTTTACAATGTTTACTGAGGTAATAAATCAAGAGAGAAGTAGAGTCACTTTCTCATAGACTTCTATACAACTAGAGGAGTCGCCCACCTGCTGGTCAGTAGAGATAATGCAAGTTTAAGGCACTTCCACATTGGCTTCACTCGTCAGAACCCGAGGTTGCCGCCTGGTTATGGCCAAAAGGGTGAGGTCACAGTGACCTTTGACCCCAACATTCTATACAGGTCATCCTTGAGTCCAAGTGGACATTTGTGCCAGATGTAATGAAATTCCCTCCAGTTGTTCCTGAGACGTCACGTTCACGAGAATGGAGAGGACATATGGATGGACAACCCTAGAACATAATGCCTCCGGCCACGGTTGTAGCCGAAGCTGAGGCATAAATATACTTGGTAACTCAAAAAATGAACAACAACAAATAAACAACCACAAAACCAAATTGTACTTGAAAGAAAAGAGACAAAGCTCCATCATCCCAGAGGACCCGTCCTACAGCCCGATTAGAGCTGAAAGCGTCCGGTCTCACTACCATGCTGTAGTAGGCATGCTCCATTTTAAGGGGACATGCACCAAAACCCAACCCCCTGGATCTGGTGTATCTTGGTCAACCAAATGGCCAGTATGGCCACCCCTGTCAAAAAGTTGATCAATGTACTCGTAATCCTCCTCTTGACGCGTACCTTGGTCCAATAACAAATATCTCAGAGGAAAAAGTATTTACCCAGATACCATTGCTCCAAAAGATGAAACAACCACTGAGCCTGGAACGTTTAAGGAACAGGTGCACCACCGTTTCTTCCTCCACTGACATCCCTCCCTATGTCTGTTTGTACTTAGCTATCGCCCCATGGTCTATCTGCTTGCACAGGGACCGACAGCAGCCTTTTGGGGAAAATAAATGCCCTGGTGCCTTCTTTCCTGCCAAACACCTTTGCCGTAGATGAGTTATCAGATTTTTAATTTATTTTTTTAACTCCAGAATATCGATATCGGAAACTGCTTCAGAAATCCAGTATTGGTCGGGCTATGCTGCGCATGAACATACTAGAGTCCCAGTCGTCTTCTGCTAACATTGCAAAACAAACCGATGATCATACACGAGTATGGTGAAAGATGAGGGTTAAAACCTCCACAATCAAACCTAACTGCGGTGCTGTCGTTATCATTTCCTAATAATTCACTGCGGGTTGCAGCATCAATGTAAAAACTGATGGCGTGCTTTGGAAGTCAGTGCATTGTCCTTAAAGGGACAGTGAAACTGAAGGTAGAGCGTCTTGGTCTTCAGTAATGTGACAAATTTCTGCATGGATGGATTAAATAAAATCCTTTAGATGTGATTGGATCGCTCAAAAGGGGCGTGGCTTATTGAATAGCGCAACATGATAAGAGGAGTTCAGGAGCTGCAGAGGACTGCAGGTTGGTAGACCGGGAGGAGGATACAAGTCGATGAATTTATTACACCTACAAACATATAGCAGCCCCAAATCACATTTGATTGTATAGATTTATGTCACCGCCCCCGAGTTCTAGATGAGTCATCGGAAATACTTTTTCTGTTCTGTTTGACACATATTTATGTAAGGGATAAATGAACATAGACATGGGATTATAACTGTAACGCGTCTTTAAAAGTACTGTATGTTAAAACGCATGTGTGTGTGTGTGTGTGTACCTGTCCATGTTGAAGGGGAAGCAGAACTTGGGCACAGTCTGAAGAGTCTCCTGTAAGACCCAGATGACAGATAATAGAGTCGAGTTACATGGATCATCATCATCAATATGTAACAATAAGTTTCTACTGTGTTAAAGTGAGAGGCGATCGAGGGGCTGATGGGAAGGATGCAGTGTGGAGGAACTGATCTGTGATTGAGTAGGGAAAGAGCAAAGCACACATGGACAAAGAGACCAACGAAAAATGTCATCGCTTGCGTTTCCAGGTCACCCAAGATTTCAATCTGACATGAATAAAAACCGGTACACAACAGTGGTACGTGCATTGATTAAAGTTCAGCCTGTGCACAACACATGAGAACAAGAAAAAGAAGTACAGGTGAAAAAGAAACCAAGGAACAACAACATGAGACAGGAAGCACAGTATATGAAGTCTTCCAAACCTGGTCCGTGTAGTCTTCAGGGAACTGTCTCCGCACCTCCGGCCCTGTTAGAAATGGACAGACATGAAAGGACCGTGGATAAGTGAACACAATGAGTCAAAATATATATCCAGCCAGGCAGTTAAAAACAAAAAAACAGTGTGGTGACTCTTCTTCTTTGGAGAAATGATCAGCTGACATCTGAGTTTGTCCTGTTTCCTGTTTCAACATGAATTCATGAAGAAACATCAGTGTTGGACCTCACTGATGCTCTTGTGGCTGAACGGGAGCAAACAGTTTCCAACATCTGGTTAAAAAGTCTTCCAGAGGAATACATTCGTTTCGAAATGCTAATGTTGATGAATGACATCAGCAAGAAGCTACTGTATCTATTAGCTACCTAAAGCACAGTCACTACTGTCTAATCTCTCATTGTGGATAATGACGTTTGCCTTGACAGTGGCTCTGAGTGGTCAAATGACTCCGACGGATGCAGAAACAAAAGCAGAAAATTGAACCCGTTGCGAAAACAGTAACGATGGAGAAATCGACACAACAGGAACGAAAAACACGTATCGCATATTCTGGGTGTAATGTCCTCATATTTTGGACCCTGTAGTTTCTCAGTATGCATTCTGGGTATATCCTGCTTCTAATTATAGAAGGCTGAATACATATAGAATATCATGGATGCAATTCATCTCTATGGAGATTTCAGCAAATTCTGTAGTCAATTCCGATAAACATCAGCATCTATTTTCCATTTAAGTTTATCCACTAAAATTAAACGAAAACGCTGTTGCATGTTCTCTCCAGCAGGTGGACATGAGAAGGGCTGCAGAAAGTTTTTAGAAATGTAAGGAACGACTCTGCACGACAAAACTTGATCGTAATCCTTGTGTTTTTGAGAGAAACGGCATGTTTTGGCGAGAATATATAAAACTGTAACCCGTTAGTTTAAAGAGCTGAGTGAATGTGTAAAGCTGTTCTGTGAAGCCCAACTAAAACAAATTGCAATCAAGGCTGAAAAGGTTCTGCATTTAAAAACAGCAGAGGACGTCAGACGGAAGCTTTGTTTGTCACAGAGATGGATATGGCTTCTTAAATACTGAACAGGAAATGATGAGAAGCACAAGACTCCAACAGGAAGCGATTCTTAGAAATACAGCCGACGTCTTTCCTCAGTATCCAGGAAATCGGTCACATATTGCAGATTAAAAAAAAAGAAGACAAGATCCATCAACATTTTATAAAAGCCAGCATTTATCATTTAGCTCTAAACCAGCTGTTCACAACCTTTTTTGACTTATGACCCTAACCCATAACAATCAGTGAACAGTTTGAATGTGTCTTGGAATTATAAACAAATCCACCAAAGAGTGTTTTTTTCCCTTTAAACTGTTTCGATTGAATACTTGTCTGAGGTCAACTTATACTCACAAAAAAAAGCAAAATAATTAAAGTTGAATCTATTCTAATTTGAGTAGCAGGACAATGCGCCTCATGCAGGAGTATTTTGCACTAAAATGTCTCGGAGGAAACACGTGTGAAACCTGTTGGGCCTGGCCAGCTTTGCATTTCTGCATTACAAATAGTGCAGCCAGCATTTTTTTGAGCAAGCGAGGTTTTGAAAAGTGTAACCACACTTGCGACCGCTTTTGGCTCGCTGCCCAACCCCGGTGAACACGGCACCACACGTGTGCCTCGATGTCT